CTTGCCAGAGTCGGCCCTGCTTTGCTTCCGAGATCTGACTAAATCGGGCTTGCCTGGGCTATCCAGGTAAGGCCTACCCAGGGGTCATTTCCTGCAGGAGCGCACAGGAGCAGAGCTCTGGCAGTAAAGAGCCCAGGGGGCAAGCACATGCAACAAGCCCCGCCCCCTGCTCCCAGCAGCCCCGGGCCACAAGGAGCAAGAAGCAGCCAGGTAAGTTGCAGAGCCTCCCCCCCCAACAAATAGCAATCCAAAACAGTCCAGTGGCACCTTTAAGACCAATTTTTATTCAGGTACAAGCTCTCCCTTCTCTGTGAAGGCAGATCTATGCACACACACCCCATGGCTAGCAATCCAAAAGAGTCCAGTGGAGCCTGAGTGGTGGGTGTTGCCTTCTGACACACTTCTGGTGATGTCAGGGTGTGTGGCATATGCTAATGAGTTATGCTAATGAGTTATGCTAATGAGCTCCGGCACCTCTTTTTCTACGAAACGACCCCTGTGACCTACCTGACGCTTTTAACTGGAGATGCCGGGGACTGAACCTCAGACCTTCAGCAGTGCAAGCAGCTGTGGCAGCTACCAGCATGGACGGCTTCAAGAGGGAATTAGATAAGCATACGGAGCAGAGGTCCATCAGTGTCTATTAGCCACAAGGTATACTCAGGAACTCTCAGTCTAGGGCAAGGGATGCTCTGTATTCTTGGTGCTTCAGGGGGAGGGCAACAGTGTGATGGGGCTTCTAGTGTCCTGGCCCCACTGCTGGACCTCCTGGTGGCACCAGGTATTTTTGGCCACTGTGTGACACAGAGTGTTGGACTGGATGGGTCATTGGCCTGATCCAACATTGGCGTCTCTTATATTCTTATGTTGGTGGTCTCCCTTCCAAGTACTTGCCAGAGTCGGCCCTGCTTAGCTTCTGAGATCTGACGAGATCGGGCTTCCCTGGGCTATGCTGATGCTTTTAACTGGAGATGCCGGGGATTGAACCTCAGACCTTCTGCAACGCACGCAGATGCTCTACCACTGAGCCACTGCCCCTACCCAGGATTAATTAGCAAAATGTTTGGGGAAGTCTTGTGGGAGGCAGACTTCCAAAAGCTTGAAGGATGGAGGCAGACAGCTCAGCTGATTCCGGCTACAAATAGATCCGGTCTTTCTGACTTCCCGAAATGAAAAGGGAGAATCCTTTGGTCTTGACTACACTGTCCCAGAGTTGTGAACAGACAGCTATCTGCAGAGGAGAACACTGCGTGAGATATGGAGCAAATGAGCTTGTAACCATCAAGGCGGGGGAACCAAAGCGGCCGTAAGCATTCTTCGGAGACCGGGGCATCCAAACTCCAATCCCAATGCTGTCATCTTTTCCCGAAGACAGTAACCCAATTAAAGGAGGGCCGGGTGACAGGCTTCACGCGAAACATGGCTCCGCGGAGGCACTGAGTTGATCTCAGATCCCCGATTTATCAAAGTTGTCACTCCCCCCCTCTCGGCACTATTCAAGAATCGGCATTAAAGGGGGAATTTGATTCACCTCTAATAGGTATCAAGATTAAACAACCAATGGCTTGTTTAAAATCTGGGTAATTTAAAGACTAGCGTGAAAGATACACACACACACACACACACACACAGAGGTAACCATTTACAGCAAGGGGTTTTCTTTTTTTAAGCAGAGCGGGAAGAAGAGAGAGGAAGGGAAATTAACAGGGTCATGATTTGGCGCATCAGAGAGAAGGAAGACAGACACGGCTTTTCCGCAGGACAGGGTTTGATTTAATGCACGGGCTGCTCAGTCTCTTCTCATAGGTTGCCTTCAAAGAGCAGGTATGCTACACAGCTCGCTCCAGAAAAAGGTGTTACGGGACAAGACGAACTTGCTGTGTCACTCCACTGTACTCCCTCCCTCCCTCCCTCCCTCTGTTCGAGAAGCCCAATAGCAACCGGAACACAAGGACGATGTTCTTGCAGCCAACCCTTCAGAGAGCTACCGTAGCACAAACTAAAACTCACTTCCAACTAAGGTCGTCGGCCTCCAGAAATCTCCTGGAGTTGCCAGTGATCTCTGGCTGACAGAGAGCTGTACCCCTGGAGAAAACGGCTGCTTTGGAGGGAGGCCTCTAGTGGCAGAGGTCCCTCCCCTCCCCGAAACCCCCCCCCCATCTCAAGCCCCCCCCTCAAATTTGGAGATGGCAACTGTACATCTAGTTCTGCCTGGGACAAAGATACCCATATCCAGATGTTTTGTCGATTTTGAGGGGGTGTTTCTGCATTTTTGTGCGTGTGCGTGCATGTGCCTGGAAGTCATGGCAGCCCCTGATGACTCCTACTGGGGCATGGAGGACGTTCAGAAGAAAAGAGGAGAAGAAGAAGAGATTGGATTTACACCCCACCCTTCACTCGGAGTCTCAGAGCAGCTTACAATCTCCTTTCCCTTCCCCTCCCCACAACAGACACCCTGTGAGGTAGGCGGGGCTGAGAGAGCTCTGACAGAAACGGCTCTTTTTCAAGACCAGCTCTGACAGAACTATGGCTTGCCCATGGTCATCCAGCAGGTGCAAGTGGAGGAGTGGGGGAATCAAACCCAGTTCTCCCAGATCAGAGTCTGCGCACTGAACCACTGCACCAAACTGGCTTGATAGCCTGCCTCTGCATCCCGACGCTGGTTTTCTTCGGAGGGCTCCCATCCAAATATTTGTCAGGGTTGACCCAGTTTAGCTTCTGAAATCTGACGAGATCGGGCTTGCTGGGCTACCAGATGTTTTGTCGATTCTGAGAGGTGGGAAAGAGGGAGACCCATTGAGGGGATCCTCTATATAGCTGCCAAACTCATGTGCTGCCAAGCCCAGCTTCTGGATTGTTCGAAAACATGCCTGGAGTGCTAAATAGAAACACCCGTTCTCGTTCTTCAACAACAGTCCCATGCACCTTATGAGAAAGACTAAATTGTGTTCTGCTTCTAAAGGAATCTTCGGAAAGCGTCCCTGGTAGGTCTCACTCTGATTATAGGAAAGCAAAGAGGATGCCGAATTTTCGTACGAGACGGGGTAGCACGTGAGTTACAGAACAGCTACGAGCAGAGAGGATCCGGTCAGCTGGACCTTGGAGGCCCGGGATCACAGTCCAGATCAGCCACCGGCTCACTAAGGGTAGCCTCTGGTGAGTCACTTTTCTTCTCCGACTCAGTTCCCCACCTGAAAAATGGGAATAATCATGACCTTCGTCACAGGCCTACTGAGAACACGAATGAACTAGGATTCGTAATTTCACACATTTTTAAAAAAATAAACAGTATAGCTTTTATTACAGGGAAATCCTCACAAACCCAGAAATTCAAAATAAGCCCAGGCCCCCTGGTCTTTGTAAGCAAACTGTTCAGCATATGCAGTCCCCCCCCACCCCCATCTTGCAAGTCATTGTACCAGGACGCGAGCTCGACAAACTTTATTTCACCCATGGCAATTGTGAACGGGGGGGGGGGGGGGGGGGGAGTCCACTGAATCAAATAATTTGTCCACTTTGACTGCTTCTAAAATACAATACAGATATATTTAAACAAATTAGTCGTAAAGGCATGCAAAATCAGAAATGCACCACAAAAGCCAGTGTGATGCAGTAGTTAAGGGTGCCGGCCTAGTATGTGGGAGACCCGGGTTCATAGCCTTGTTTGTGCTACAAAACCTTGCTGGATGAACTTGGGCCAGTTGCACTCTCAAACTAACCAACCTCACAGGATTGTTGTGAGGATAAAACAGAGGAGAGGTGAATGACGTGATGTAGGCCACCGTGGGTCCCCACTGGGCAGAAAGGATGGGTGCAAATGAAGTAAATAAACAAATGTTTTTGCATGCAATTAAAACATTAAGCCAATCTGGGGTCCCCACTTATTCCAACAAGCCTGATTCCTAGAGGAAGTTATGCTATTGTTATGGTATTCGTAAACAGGACTGGTATTAAGAGGATTGCTGTATCCCAGAGCGTCACAATGTTCCCTCTAAGCTGAGTTAGTGTGGGCAAGCTCAGTTTTTTAGCCTCTGGCTCACACATTTTTCTCTCATCTCAGGAAGGAGGGCCCCAGAGCAAACTAACTTATGCAGCAGCCAAATTGCTCACTCACAACTTTAACGCCAGTAGCTCACAAAGCAGAATTTTTGCTCACAAGACTCCACAGCTTAGAGGGAGCCTTGGTCACAATGGCCAAAGAATCTCTTGCACCAACAGCACCCCCTTGTTATTTTGCACAGATTGCTAATTGTACAGAGGGAGCGTGAAGACTTTCTCCTCACAAGATCCCACCGGAAACTATACTGAACAGGGTGACCGAACTTAAGGTTCTTACTTGAGATTAAGGTCGAAGGCTGCCGAATCCTTCTGGTTTACCAAGAATAAACTCTGAGATGAAGCATCTACGCCCCACCCCCTACCACAACTGGACTGCACTTCTTACGAGAGACATTCTTTGCCCTTTATGGACAAGCATGTGGGGGGGGGGTAGATGTCCAAAATGTGGCATTTCCCCTTCAGGGAACTTTCAAAGTGGCGGACAGAAGAGAAAGTATTCCAGAAGGGAAACACCGCATTTGAAAACACACATGCCCTTTGCAAACCTTGTATGTTGCTCATACGAAAGCAGAGAACGAAATAACCTTTCAAGAAGAATCCCACAGATCGACCATCACACACACACACACACACAAACATATATTTTAATCCATTATCCCAAAGCTTTACTTTCTTTTTATACATTCTTTGTTACAATATCTTGGCACTAGAGTCCCAAAGATCTTCGTGTTCCTGAAAATTCGTCCAAGTGTGACTTTGTGAAGCCAGGCGCAGAATGATAGAGGGTTTCAAGCTTGTTGTGGGGTGTGCCATAAAACCAGAGGCGGGGAGGTGGGGAAGAAAAGAATATCCAAAGAGTGGACTCCACCCTCCAGTCCATAAACATGTTTATCCAGCCGGACCCACCTTTTCCACCCTTCTGGTATTTGACCACAACTCACCTGTTCCAGCTTCATCTCCAGGGATTTCTTCTCCTCTTCCAACTGGCTCCGTTCGGTCTCCAGCTCCTCAATCTTTAACCTAGGGGACAAAACGGACACAGTAAAAACCTTTCATATCCTTCCCCGTTGCTACAATCTGACTCAGCTAAGTGACCCTAGAGTTAACCGTGAGCAGTGGCAGCTGTGTGAGGATGGGAAGAGACATTCTGTCAAGGGCCAATGCCACGACTTTTCCTTTCCGCCCCATGATGCTTATAAGGGCCACTGTTAGATTGGATTTATACCCCACCCTTCACTACCTGAAGGAGTCTCAGAGTGGCTCACCATCTCCTTTCCCTTCCCCTCCCCACAACAAACACCCTGGGAGGCGGGTGAGGCTGAGAGAGCCCTTTCAAGAACTGCAGTTGAGAGAACAGCTCTGAGAAAAACCTGTGACTGACCCAAGCTCATACCAGCAGCTGCGTGTGGAGGAGTGGGGAATCAAACCTGGTTCTCCCAGATTAGAGTCCGTGCTCTTAACCACTACACCAAACTGGCTTCTCCCCCCTTCAGGAGCCAGACGGGACAGAAATACTGTGCCACTAGCACCTTTCCCGGGCAAGCCTAATATCAGATCTCAGAAGCTAGGCAGGATCAACCCTGGTTAGTACTTGGGGTGGGAGAACGCCAAAGAAGTCCAGGGTTGCTACGCAGAGGAAGCCAATGGCAAACCACCTGTGTTCGTCTCTTGCCCTGAACTGGATGGCTCATCAGGTCTCAGAAGCTATGCAAAGTCGGCCCTGGTTACTTCTGGGATGGTAGATCAGTAAGGAAGTCCAGGGTTGCTACGCAGAGGCAGGCGATGGCCAACCACCTCTGGTCATCTCTTGCCCTCCCCTGGATGGGCCAGAACAGCCTGGTCTCATCAGACCACAGAAGTTAAGCAGGGTTGGTCCTGATTACTATTTAGACAGAAGACCACCAAAAAATCCAGAGATGGTACGCAGAGCTTGGCAATTACAAGCCACCTCTGTTCCTCTCCTCTTGAAAAACTGACAGGGTTTCCGTCAGTCGGCTGTGACTTGGTGGCCCTTCCCCCCACCAGATTTTGCTTTCTGTCAAGAAGCATTTATTTCAGAAGAACGTTGTGTACATTAAAAGAAAGGGTCCGCTCTACTCACAGGCCCTGAAATTTAAAGCCAGTTGGTCTGCTGCAACAGACCCCCTTCGATTACAGCTATTGCTAGAGGACCGGCCAAAAAGTTAATCTTCCACTTGCAACTTTTTTTGAGTGCCTGTATTTTTTAGATTTAAAGCCCCAACCTTGATGGCCTAGGCTTGCCCGGTCCCATCATATCCCAGGTGCTAAGCAGGGTCGGCCCTGGCTAGTAATTGGATGGGAGACCACCAAGCAAGTCCAAGGTTGCTACGCAGAGGCAGGGAATGGCAAAACACTTTCCTTCGTCTCTTGCTCTGACCCGGATGGTCTCGGTTAGCCCGATCTTGTCCAACCTTGGAAGCTAAGCAGGGTCAGCCTTGGTCAGTACCACCAAGCAAATCCAGGGTTGCTACGCAGAGGCAGGGAATGGCAAAACACCTCTCTTCGTCTCTTTCTCTGATCTGGATGCTCTAGGCTAGCCTGATCTTGTCCAACCTTGGAAGCTAAGCAGGGTCAGCCTTCGTCAGTACCACCAAGCAAGTCCAGGGTTGCTACGCAGAGGCAGGGAATGGCAAAACACCTCTCTTCGTCTCTTGCTCTGACCCGGATGGTCTCGGTTAGCCCGATCTTGTCCAACCTTGGAAGCTAAGCAGGGTCAGCCTTCGTCAGTACCACCAAGCAAGTCCAGGGTTGCTACGCAGAGGCAGGGAATGGCAAAACACCTCTCTTCGTCTCTTGCTCTGACCCGGATGGTCTCGGTTAGCCCGATCTTGTCCAACCTTGGAAGCTAAGCAGGGTCAGCCTTCGTCAGTACCACCAAGCAAGTCCAGGGTTGCTACGCAGAGGCAGGGAATGGCAAAACACCTCTCTTCGTCTCTTGCTCTGACCCGGATGGTCTCGGTTAGCCCGATCTTGTCCAACCTTGGAAGCTAAGCAGGGTCAGCCTTCGTCAGTACCACCAAGCAAGTCCAGGGTTGCTACGCAGAGGCAGGGAATGGCAAAACACCTCTCTTCGTCTCTTGCTCTGACCCGGATGGTCTCGGTTAGCCCGATCTTGTCCAACCTTGGAAGCTAAGCAGGGTCAGCCTTCGTCAGTACCACCAAGCAAGTCCAGGGTTGCTACGCAGAGGCAGGGAATGGCAAAACACCTCTCTTCGTCTCTTGCTCTGACCCGGATGGTCTCGGTTAGCCCGATCTTGTCCAACCTTGGAAGCTAAGCAGGGTTGGTCCTGGTTAGTACTTGGATGGGAGACCCCCAAGAAAGACCCAGGTCGCTGCACAGAGGCACGCAATGGCAAACCACCTCTGAACGTCTCTTGACTTTAAACGCTGTAAATTGGCTGCAATTTGACGGCACTTTCCACCACCAAGATATAAAACCCCGCTCGGTGGCTTTTGTCTCAGAAACCTGTCTCTTTTTCAAAACCAGATCGAAAATGGCATTTCAGGGTGTTTATATTCAATTCTCATCAAAGTCACTCAGTAAGCCTCTCAGATGCCGAACAAGGTTTCTTGCCTCTAGCATTACGGAGGAAGAAAAGTCAACCAGCTTGACGGCTAGATGGCTTGGATGTATTTTACCACACTGCTATTTGCAGCCAGGTACATTGTCTTCAGTTCACAAAATAACCACTTTTACTCTTCTGATTAAAGGGGCAACCCTGCAGGGCTTTATGGCATGGATCGAGGGTCCCCGACCTATTTGAGGCTGTGAGCACCTCTGGAATTCTGACACAAGGAGGTGGGTTCGACTGCAAAATGGCTGCTGCAGGAGGCGGACCCAAACACAACATGGCTGCCACAGGCGGCTGAGCCACACATCCAGGGAAAGCCCGAATGCAGGTGAGAAGAGGGGTGATTTTTAAACGAATACAGTGGGAAAGAGGAGTGAGAGAGAATAAATCCGATACTATGGTGGTAGCCACTGCTCAAACAATGTTATTTTAATCTACACAGCCCATTAGATCCCCAATGGCCATTTAGAACCTCTCCTGGACCAATGCCCCAATGGGCACCCCATTGAAGAGAGAAGAAGAGAGAGAAGAGACTAGATTTATACCCTGCCCTTCACTTGGAGTCTCAGAGCGGCTTACAGTCTCCTTTCCCTTCCCCTCCCCACAACAGACACTCTGTGAGGTATGTGGGGCTGAGAGAGCTCTTTCAAGAACTGTTCTTGAGAGAACAGCTCTGAAATAACTTGTGACTGACCCAAGGTCACACCAGCAGCTGCATGTGGAGGAGTGGGGAATCAAACCCGGTGCTTCTAGAGTCCACACTCTTAACTACTACACCAAACTGGCTCTCTATTGGGGACCATGGATTATGTTGATGTTCTTTGACATCTAGGGATTGACACACAATGCTTAAATTTCTAAAACCATGACGTATCCTAGCTTCTCTGGCATAGGGACCGCCCTCCCCCATACACAGTGACAGAGAGGGCTGTGGTTACTCAGTGGCCAATGAACCAAAATTCCACACATGTTCGAAGTGTTTTGGCCACTGCAGGTCCACAGGCGGCCCAAGCACTGCGGAGCCTTGGATCACAGACGGCGCCAGAATTCATTAGCAAGTGATATTTTAACAGAGACTGCTGAAAATATGAAGCGGGGTTTCATTCGCGAAGATGGCTTCGAATCCCTTGAAGAGGTCGTCCCCCCCCCCCTTGCGACAGATGTAATTGAAATTAAAATTACGCAGGGAAAAAAAGCATGCTCCGAAGGCATGAAAATGCAGTATTTTTGAAAGCTCTCCCCAAAGCCCTCTGAGAGCATTTTTTGCCAGGAGGTGAAATCACAGCCAGGTTGTCTCTGCTCCAAGCAGTGTGTCGTTCCCCCCTCCCCTCCACAGAAGCCTGATCTCCTGAGAGAGGTGCACACACAGGGTGGGAAACATTCGGCAGACGAAAAAACCAACATCCAAAGGTTCTGACGGAGGAATGGGTCGGTCGGCAGCAAGGGACCCTTGTCCGACACGGAGGCCTCGTAGGAAAAAGGAGACCACCTCACCACAGATTTGTCCTGTGTTCATCTCACTGACCTGGAGGGCTTCTAGGCTGGAGTTTGGGCCTCAGTCCCTTGTGTGGGGGGGAAATCAAAACGTTTCTGAGCACCCCTTCTTTCCAGCACCTTCTTTATGTCAGACAACGCAGGTGCAAAAGAGCTCCTTGGGGAATTCTGAATCGCATAACCACCTACTCCGAAGAAGAAGAAGAAGAAGAAGAAGAAGAAGAAGAAGAAGAAGAAGAAGAAGAAGAAGAAGAAGAAGAAGAAGAAGA